TGTGGTGGCCGATTCTGGGCAGAAAAACCCCGATTTTGGGCAAAAAAAAAAATTAATTTTGGGGAAAAAATGGAATTTGGGGGGAAAAACGGGGATTTTGGGGAAAAACCTGGGGAAAAAACATGGGAAAAATCCGTGGGAAATGGGGAAAATGAGAGCTGTCGTCGCTTGTGCTGTGGTGGCCGATTCTGGGCAGAAAAAACGCGATTTTGGGCAAAAAAATAATGGGGGAAAAATCGCAGGAAAAACAGGGGAAAAACCTGGGAAAAATTGGGGAAAAAATCCCGTGGGAAATGAGGAAAAAAACCAGGAAAAAATAAATGGGAAATGGGGAAAAAAACTGGGAAAAAATGGGGGAAAAATCCATGGGAATTTGGGGAAAAAATTGGAGATTTTGGGAAAAAAAAACTGGAAAAAATCCATGAGAAATGGGGGAAAAAATCAGAGAAAACCCAGGAAAAAATCCGTGGGAAATGCAGAAAAAAACCTGGAAAAAAAATCCCTGGGAAATGGGGAAAAAAATGGGGAAAAACCCGTGGGAATTTGGGGAAAAAACAACTGGAAAAAATCCATGAGAAATGGGGAAAAAACCTGAGAATTTGGGAAAAAAAACCCGAGGAAAAATCCCTGGGAAATGGGGAAATGGGAAAGGTGAGCGGAGCTGTCGTCACTCGTGCTGTGGTGGCCGATTCTGGGCACAAAAACGGGGATTTTGGGCAAAAAAACACATAAGTTTTTTTTGGGAAAAAGTAGAGGTTTTTTTTGGGGAAAAAAGCAGATTTTTTTGGGAAAAAAGCAGATTTTTTTTTGGGAAAAGAGGATTTTTTTGGAAAAAAATCAGATCTTTAAAAAAAAAACCAAACTTTTTTTTTTTTAAAAAATGTGGATTTCTTGGGGCAAAAAAAGCAGATTTTTGGGGGAAAAAATCAGATTTTTTGGGGGAAAAATCTGATTTTTTGGGGCGAAAAAAATGTATTTTTCGGGGGAAAAGATCAGATTATTTTGGAAAAAAATCAGATTTGTTTTGAGAAAAAAGTGGATTTTTTTGGGAAAAGAAGCAGATTTTTTTGGGTAAAAAGCAGAGGCTTTTTTGGGGGAAAAAACCCAGATTTTTGGGGGGGAAAAATCAGATTTTTTTTGAGAAAAAAGCAGATTTTTGGGGAAAAATAGCAGATTTTTTGGAGGGAAAAAAGCAGATTTTTTTTGGAAAAAAAAAAAAGCGGAATTTTTTTGGAAAAAAAGTGAATTTTTTTCAGAAAAAATCAGATTTTTTCGGAAAAAAATCCGATTTTTTTTTAAAAAAAAGGGGATGTTTTTGGGGTAAAAGAGGCTATTTTTGGGTGACCCACCTGTAGGTCATGGCCTCGATGAGGAAGGGCTGGTCCTCGGAAACCAGCGGGTTTTGGGGGAAAGAGAGGATTTTTGGGGGAAAAAAGCAGAGTGTTTTTGGGGAAGAAGCAGAGACTTTTTTGGGGGAAAAGTGGATTTTTTTCAGAAAAAAAAAGCAGATTTTTTTTCCAAAAAAAGCTGATATTTTTGGGAAAAAAACAGGGTTTTTTGGGAAAAAAGTGGATTTTTTTGGAAAAAACTGTAGATTTTTGGGGGGGGGAAATCAGATTTTTTTTGTAAAAAATGCGGATTCTTTTTTTTAAAAATCAGATTTTTTTTGAAAAAAAAATCAGATTTTTTGGGGGGAAAAAGCGGATTTCTTTTTGTAAAAAATAGACTTTTTTTGGGGAAAAAAGTGGATTTTTGGAGGGAAAAAACCAGATTTTTAGGAGGGAAAAAAATCAGATTTTTTTGGTAAAAAATCCGAATTTTTTGGAAAAAAAAGCAGATTTTTTTGTGAAAAAAGGCGGATTTTTTTTGGAAAAAAAAGCGGATTTTTTGGGATTTTTTGGGGATATTTTTGGGGACCCACCTGTAGGTCATGGCCTCGATGAGGAAGGGCTGGTTCTCGGCCACGGCGCGGCGCCGCGCCTCCCGCGTGGCGTTGTAGACGGCGAAGACGTCGTTGCCGTCCACGCGGATGGAGAGCAGCCCGTAGCCGGGGCCCCGCGCCGCTGCAGGGGGGGAAATGGGGCAGAAAACGGGATTTTGGGGCTGCTCACCGATGCCGTCGCCGCGGTACTGCTCGGAGGTGGGCGTGGAGATGGCGTAGCCGTTGTTGCGGCAGAAGAAGACGATGGGGCACTCGAGCGTGGCGGCGAAGTTGAAGCCGGCGTGCGCGTCGCCCTCGCTGGCCGCGCCCTCGCCGAAGTAGCAGACCACGGCGCGGCTGGCGTCCGCGCGCTTGATGGCGTAGGCCGCGCCCACCGCTGGGCCGAAAAATGGGGATTTTGGGCAAAAAATATCGCGTTGGTCGGGTGGAGGGATTGGGGAGTTTGGGGAAAAAAATTGGGATTTTTTAGGTGGAGGAATCGGGGAGTTTGGGGGGAAAAGGGGGAGTTTTGGGAAAAATTTGGGAGTTTTCAGGTGGAGGAAAGGGGGATTTTTGGTGGGGGGTGGACGGGGGGAGTTTTGGGGGGAAATGGGGGAAGCGAGGGAAAAATGACGGGATTTTTCACCTGGAGATATGGGGGATTTTGGGGGGAAATATGGGGGAATTTGGGCAAAAATATATGGGGGTTGTTAGCTGGAGATAGCAGGGAAAAAATCTGGGGTTTGGGGAAAAAATCTGGGATTTTTTATGTGGAGGAATGGGGGAGTTTTGGGGGAAAAGGGGGAAAACTTGATGGGATTTTTCACCTAGAGATATGGGGGATTTTTGGGGGAAAAAACAGGGATTTTGGGAAAAAAATGGGTGGTTGGTCAGGTGGAGGGATTGGGGGGTTTGGGGAAAAAATCCGGGAGTTTTTAGGTGGAGGAATGGGGGAGTTTGGGGGGGAAATGGGGGAAGCGAGGGAAAAATGATGGGATTTTTGATCTGAAGATATGGGGGATTTTTGGGGGAAAAAACGGGGATTTTGGGGAAAAAATATGGGGTTTGTGAGGTGGAGGGATGGGGGAAAAGATCTGGGGTTTGGGGAAAAAAATTGGGATTTTTTATGTGGAGGGATGGGGGAGTTTTGAGGGGAAATGGGGGAAGCGAAGGAAAAATGACGGGATTTTTCAGGTGGAGGAATGGGGGATTTTTGGGGGAAAAAATGGGGATTTTGGGCAAAAAATATGGGGTTGGTCAGGTGGAGAAATCGGGGGAAAAATCTGGAGGTTGGCAAAAAAAATTGGGAGTTTTTAGGTGGAGGAATGGGGGAGTTTTGGGGGGAAAAGGGGAAAAAATCTGGGATTTTTTATGTGGAGGAATGGGGGATTTTGGGGGGAAAAACGGGGATTTTGGGCAAAAAAAAATGGGGTTGGTCAGGTGGAGGGATGGGGGGGTTTGGGGGGAAAAGGGGGAGTTGGGGGAAAAAACTGGGAAATTTGGGGGAAAAATGGGGTGGAAATACGGGAAAAAAAGGGAAAAATTTGGGAAAAAAGGGAAAAAAGTGGGGGAAATTTGGGAAAAAAAGGGAAAAAAGGGGGGAAATTTGGGGGAAGAAAGGGGGGATTTGGGGGAAAAAGGGAGAAATTTGGAGGAAAACGGGGCGGAGATTTGGGAAGAAAAGGGGGAAAAACGGCAGAAATTTGGGAAAAAAGGGCAGAAATATGGGAAAAAAAGGGAAAAAAGTGGGGAAAAATTTGGGGAAAAAAGGGAAAAAAGAGGGGAAAATTTGGGGGAAGAAAGGGAGGATTTGGGGGAAAAAGGGGAGAAATTTGGGGGGAAAATGGGGCAGAAGTTTGGGAAAAAAGAGAGAAAAAAGGGAGAAAATTCAAGGAAAAAAAAGAAAAAATGGGAGAAAAAAGGGAAAAAAGCGGGGAAAAATTTGGGAAAAAAAGGTAAAAAAGGGGGGAAATATTGGGGGAAGAGAGGGGGGATTTGGGGGAAAAAGGGGAGAAATTTGGGGGGAAATGGGGCGGAAATACGGGAAAAAAAGGGAAAAATTCGGGGAAAAAAGGGAAAAAAGTGGGGGAAATTTGGGAAAAAAAGGGAAAAAAGGGGGGAAATTTGGGGGAAGAAAGGGGGGATTTGGGGGAAAAAGGGAGAAATTTGGAGGAAAACGGGGCGGAGATTTGGGAAGAAAAGGGGGAAAAACGGCAGAAATTTGGGAAAAAAGGGCAGAAATATGGGAAAAAAAGGGAAAAAAGTGGGGAAAAATTTGGGGAAAAAAGGGAAAAAAGAGGGGAAAATATTGGGGGAAGAAAGGGAGGATTTGGGGAAAAAGGGGAGAAATTTGGGGGGAAAATGGGGCAGAAGTTTGGGAAAAAAGAGAGAAAAAAGGGAGAAAATTCAAGGAAAAAAAAGAAAAAATGGGAGAAAAAAGGGAAAAAAGTGGGGAAAAATTTGGGAAAAAAAGGTGGGAAATTTTGGGGACAAAAAGGGGGGATGGGGGCGGGGGCGGGGCTCTCACCCTGCGGGATCTGCGTGGCCAGCGGCGACGAGATGGTGACGAAGTGGCGCTCGGGGCAGCCGTAGTGCACCGGCATCTGCCGGCCCTTGCCGGGGTCGCGCGCGTTGCCGTAGCACTGCGCCATGAACAGCTCCAGGGGGTACCCGCGGTACAGCAGCACACCTGGGCAGGTGGGACACACCTGTGTGACACCTGGGGCACACCTGGCACCTGCACATCCCCACCCCGAGCGCCATGAACAGCTCCAGGGGGTACCCGCGGTACAGCAGCACACCTGGGCAGGTGAGGGGCACACCTGTGTGACACCTGGCACACCTGACACACCTGGGTCACACCTGGCACCTGCACATCCCCACCCCGAGCGCCATGAACAGCTCCAGGGGGTACCCCCGGTACAGCAGCACACCTGGGACAGGTACGGGTCACCTCACCCCGCTGGGTCACACCTGTGTGACACCTAACACACCTGGGACACACCTGGGTCACACCTGGGTCACACCTGTGCCACCCACACCTCACCTGTGCCTCACCTGTCACACCTGAGCCCCCCTGAGCCCCTCCCACACCTCACCTGTGCCCAGGTGAGCTCCCCAGCCCCCCACCTGTCTCACCTGTGCCCAGGTGAGCTCACCTGCCTCGCGGTACTGCCCGAAGACGAGGTCGGCGCTGTCCAGCACGGCGGCGCTGCCCCCCTGAGCCCCCCTGAGCTCACCTGTGACCCCTCACCTGTGTCTCACCTGTCCCACCTGTGCCCAGGTGAGCTCACCTGTGTCTCACCTGTCCCACCTGTGCCCAGGTGAGCTCACCTGCCTCGCGGTACTGCCCAAAGACGAGGTCGGCGCTGTCCAGCGCGGCGGCGCTGCCCACGTGAGCCCACCTGAGCTCACCTGTGACCCCTCACCTGTCTCACCTGTCTCACCTGTGCCCAGGTGAGCTCACCTGTGTCTCACCTGTCCCACCTGAGCCCAGGTGAGCTCCCCAGCCCCTCACCTGCCCAGGTGAGCTCACCTGCCTCGCGGTACTGCCCGAAGACGAGGTCGGCACTGTCCAGCGCGGCGGCGCTGCCCACCTGAGCTCACCTGAACCCCTCACCTGTCCCACCTGTGTCTCACCTGCCCAGGTGAGCTCACCTGCCTCGCGGTACTGCCCGAAGACGAGGTCGGCGCTGTCCAGCGCGGCGGCGCTGCCCACGTGCGTCCCCTCCTCGCCGTAGTTGGTCATGTAGAACGAGATGCGGCCCTGGGGGCGGCCGGGGAGCACAGGTGAGCCCAGGTGAGTGCCCAGGTACCCCAGGTGTTCCCCCAGGTGCCCCCAGGTGGGACCAGGTGTGCCCAGGTGCCCCCAGGTACCCCAGGAGTGCCCAGGTGTGCCCAGGTGTATCCCAGGTACCCCAGGTGTGCCCAGGTACCCCAGGTGTGCCCAGGTGAGTGCCCAGTGAGCCCCAGGTGAGTGCCCAGCTGTGCCCAGGTGCCCCCAGGTGTACCCCAGGTACCCCAGGTGTGCCCAGGTGTACCCCAGGTGAGCCCAGGTGAGTGCCCAGGTACCCCAGGTACCCCAGGTGTGCCCAGGTGTACCCCAGGTGCCCCCAGGTGTGCCCAGGTACCCCAGGTGAGTGCCCAGGAGTGCCCAGGTGTGCCCAGGTGTGCCCAGGTGAGTGCCCAGGTGAGTGCCCAGGAGTGCCCAGGTGTGCCCAGGTGTATCCCAGGTACCCCAGGTGTGCCCAGGTACCCCAGGTGTGCCCAGGTGAGTGCCCAGTGAGCCCCAGGTGAGTGCCCAGCTGTGCCCAGGTGCCCCCAGGTGTACCCCAGGTACCCCAGGTGTGCCCAGGTGTACCCCAGGTGAGCCCAGGTGAGTGCCCAGGTACCCCAGGTACCCCAGGTGTGCCCAGGTGTACCCCAGGTGCCCCCAGGTGTGCCCCAGGTGTGCCCCAGGTGTCCCCAGGTGTGTCCCTGTCTCTGACTCCCCTGCTCTCTCCCCAGGTGCTCTCAGGAGCCCCCAGGTGTGTCTCAGGTGTGCCCAGGACCCCCCCCCAGGTGCGTGCCCCACCCTGTGCCCCCCCCAGGTGTGTTCAGAACCCATCTCAGGTGTGTTCAGCCCCCCAGGTGTGTCTGTACCCCCAGGTGTGTCTGTACCCCCAGGTGTCCCCAGGTGTGTCTCAGGTGTGTCTGTACCCCCAGGTGTGTCTCACCTGTGCCCAGGTGTGTCCAGGTGTGCCCAGGTGTGTCCCAGGTGTGTCTGTACCCCCAGGTGTGTCCC